GATACTGAATAATTTTTTTTAATAAAGACATTGTAGACACATAATTCTAAATTAAAGAAATGCATATGTATTATTTTTTGTTGTAGCTACTAAATTATTATTTATTTTAATAAGACTAAAATAGAGTACTAATCATGCCAACTTTGATTGGGATGGGGTTCGAACTTAAGAAATTTCTTATTGAAATCAATGAGTAAGTTAACGGTGAACTAAAAGAAATTAACGGAAAATACAATATTTAACGGAAAAGTTAACGGATAATCATATTCATTAATGATAAATTAGGAAACCTTAAGGAAAAATTAAAATTTGATCAATCTGAGCCATTCATTTGATTAAAAAATTTGACCGCCAATAATTTCTACCCATTATAGGTCTAACTCTCTTGGGCTCTTATTAGTATAGTAGATAGAAAAATTTGACCGCCATTAATTTCTACCCATTATAGGTCTAACTCTCTTGTGCTCTTATTAGTATAGTAGATTAATGAGTATGATAATAATAATAATAAATAGTTAACGGAATATTTGGTTACTAAAGTTTATACTTATACTAACGGAATTTAGGGTTATTTTAGGGAAGGAAATAATATAATAGAGGGTAAATAAGGAAAATCATTAAAAATTACTAAAATCAAAATAATATTAACTGTTCATTTTAAGAAACAACTACTACCGATATTTTTTTGTTCCAGTCATGGTTGCAATAGGCGCTAGGCGCTAGTCGGGCGGTAGAGTAGCGCCTAGCGCCTAGACGGCCTAGGCAGGGCCTAAGCGGCCTAGGCGGTCGCCTAGGCGGCTAACTGAAAAAATGAAAAACAGTGCACGTGTGTAGGTGCATATATGTCATATTACACACACACACTCATATATATATATATATATATATATATATATATATATATATATATATACATACATACATATATATGTATATATATATGTAGTATATATATATACATATAAATATATATATACATATATATGTAGTATATATATATACATACATATATATGTATATATATATGTAGTATATATATATACATATATATGTAGTATATATATATACATATAAATATATATATATATATATATATATATATATATATATATATATATGTATATATATATATATATATACATATATATATATATACATATATATATACATATATATATATATATATATATATATATATATATATATATATATGTATATATGTATATATGTATATATATGTATATATATATATATATATATATATATATATATATATATATATATATATGTCATATAAATGAAAAAAATTAGTAAGGTCGAGTTGGTCGGGTTAACTCGGCTAACTCGACAGAAATTGACGAGTTAACTCGGCGTAATCGGCTGAGTTAGGCGCTAGGCGGGCGCCTAGGCGCCCGGTGTCATAGGCGGGAGCCTAGGGGAGAAATCGCCACGGCCTAGGGGCGCCTAGCGCCTAGGCCCCGATTACTCGGTGCCTAGGCGGGATTTTTGCAACCCTGGTTCCAGTTAAGGACCTAACATTATTGGCTCTTATTAGATTTGTAGATGTAGATAGAAATTAGGAAATCTTAAGGAAAAATTAAAATCTGATCAATCTGAGTCATTCATTTGATTAAAAAATTTGACCACCATTTTTTCTACCCATTATATGCCTAACTCTCTTGGGCTCTTATTAATATAGTAGATTTATGAGTAATCATACATTCACTCTTACTTTCTACTTCTTAGATTAAGAGAATGCTAAAGACATCAAATTTGTAGCACCCAAGCACTATATGTGAAAATCGTATGAACGACCAACCCCTCACCCCAAATTTATTTTGTGTAATTGAATTTGTATTAGTTGGAAATATTATTGATTACAAGAATTGAACCCTTAAAATTATATACTTGTTGAATATTTTTGTATAATTATATATTTATTTAAATCATTCACAATCATTATATATCGAACTTATATATATATATATATATATATATATATATATATATATATATATATATATATGTATGTATATAAACACATTGTATTTGTTCAAAAAGTTTAATTTATTTGATTGAAAATAGTGTTAATTGTTGACTAGGTTAGAGGTTTGATTCTTGGACTATATAAAGTTTAATATTTGCTGGGTTACAAAATCGTAACTTGGCCCAAACCGTTTTATACTTAGCCCGTTACAAATCGGGTTGGCCCGTTTTGACACCTTTAAATACAAGGGTGTTGGCTTGTCTTTAGGGTTGTTATATCGTGGACCGCGGTCAAAACGACGTCGTTTTTTGAAGTAAAGAAATGATGCGCCGTTAGTGTATGTTAACAGAGCGCGCATTTTTTTATGTTAATTACCAACTGACACTACAGTGTATCTAAACAACACTACAATGTATCTAAACTTGTGCATCTAAGTCCTTAGCTTAGATGTGGCATAACCTCCCCCAACTATTCTGTTTAACTTCCGCTTTATTTTGGTATAAATAATAGACTTCATCGTATTTCTTAATCTTAAAATGTTTTAAAATATGCCTAAAAATCGAGGGTGTTACATATAGTGTTTATAAAATTAAATTAAATAACATTTTCACATATTTGAGTCTATAAATATCGAATGAAACTGTAGTTATATTGAAATGAAACTGTAGTTGTGTTGAACTGAAACTGCAGTATATACAAAAACGAAATTGAATAATAGAGTTACTTTTCGCGGAAGGGTGCGGAACGGTGCGAAACGAATACCGTTTATTTTCATTAAACAAAACGGCATCATTTTGATACTCGGTACATAATCAATTATGCACCGCAGTGCACGATATAATTTGCCTTGTCTTTATGCCTCACAAGGTTTCGTGCCAAACCATTGTCATCGCGATATCCCAGAGCGTTGACTTTCTAAGCTAGTCATGTTGGTATGATGATTGGTATTTCATGATCGGGTAATAGAGCTATCAAGGGCGAATCCAGCTGTGTGGGGGCAGCTCCCACCCCACCCCACCCGTTTATATATATGTATGTATATGTATACATATATATCATGAAATGTTATATAAAATCTATATTTATGTTGAAAGCATTAATAGTTTGAGTAGCTTAGTTGGTTGAATTCCAAATTTTATGTTATAAAAGCATTGTAAAAGGCTTATGTCATGAGTTCAAATTTCGTTAGCAACACTTTTAATTATCTTCTCTCTTTCATTTCTTCACAAGACAAATTAAATATTTTTAGTATATTTTTTATGAATCATTTAATTAACATATTAAATGTTGTTTTAGTCCAATCTAGTTTTTGTAAATCATTTAATTAAAGTAATTTTTATAAATCATTTAATTATTGTTTAATATAGTGTGTGTGTGGCGAGGATACCTTCCCCCGCACCGGCCCCCATACCCGCGCGGTATACAAAATTCTCCTCATACCCGCACCCATTACTCAAATTGTGCGGGTATTTTAAAACCCGTAAGAATGAAATTGCAGGGTACACATAGGGTGCAGGTAGACTTTTGTAGACTTTTTAAAATAAAAAGTTCATACAAGTTTATAAATGTTTTTTATATATACTTTTATAGAGTTTTATAAAGTTTGGAATGACTCTATAAAAGTCAATTAAAATTTATCATTTTAAAAGTCTACAAAAATCATGATTAAATACACCACATGTATTCTTTTGACTCTTATTAGTATAGTACATAACATTGTTTAGGGAAGAAATTTGTATGCATGACATGACAAGTGCGATATGACGACTACAACTCAGAAAGCACGCAGCAAAGGGGAACATACATGACAAAAAGTATCCTACTTTGAAAAATAAAATTTTCAACTACTTGGTTTTGATAAATAAGATTTCAAGGTACTCTAAAGACTCTATTTTGAAGAAGAAAAAAAAAAAAAAAACTCACAGTATGAGTTTGACACCGAATTTGATTAAAACATGATAATTAGTGTTTCTTGTTTGTTTACGTGTCTATAAGCATAGAGTATTAACGTTGATGGATATATTACACGAACTGATTCGGGGTAGCGCAGCGGACTCGGAGTATCGAGGTAGAGCCCAAGACACTTCGGTCCAAGGCATCTTGCAGGGACGAAGCCAGAAATTCGATTGAGGGGGGGCGAAGAAGTAGAACGAATTCAGAAATTTTTTCCAGTAAAAGCGAAACATTAAAACAAAAGATGTGTATTAAATATTAAAAAAGTAAATGTGTTAAGTCATAGGGGAGGAACAAAATATGCTAATGCAAGGTTTTGAACCCAAGACCTTTCCTATTACCATAAATATGCTCTACCAACTAATCTAACACCTTACTTGCTAACATTTACTAATTTTTCTATACTAATACTAAAACATATACTATATATACATATATACATATACATATTATATATGGGATCGGGGGTGGGGGGTGGGGTGAGGGGGGGGGGGGGCAGCTGACCCCCTACGCCCCCTCTGGCTCCGTCCCTGGCACCTCGGCTTTAGACGTTTCGGCTCAAGGTACCTCGACCCAAGCCATCTCGACAATGATGGGCTCGGGTGGAAGAGCTCGGCATTCCGGCCTGTAATGAGCTCGGGTTAGAGAGCTCGGTCATACCCGACCCGGGCTCAACACGCGCTGACCCGGGACCCGGTCTTGCCCGGGCGCGGGGATCCAACCTCCCGCCATTTTAGGGGCGGTTGAGGGGTTTTGCTTATATAAAAACCTTCCACCTCGTCCTAATAAGACACATTTACTATTTCCTACTACTACTGTCCTAACGAATCATTGTAATAGCCTATTCACAACATTTAATATAATATATGGTATCCGCGAATTTTGCGACATCGTTTTGTCTATTTATTTATTTACTATCCACGCTCTTATCCGGATTTAGTTATTCAGGTCCACCTCAAGTAATTAAATCCATCAAGCGTAATCTAATATGATAAAGTATTTTAATTGCTTAAACCAATAATTTGAAATAGGAGGATAACTCAGGAATAGTTTGTGGTACCTGGAAAGTTAGCAGACCCTCGTTTTGTTCATTGATTTTGTACTTCATGAGTTGTAGAAGTTCTTGTCCGTGCTCTTGCCGAATCATAGCCAGCTTAGCCCTTATGGACTGGATCTCGCTCGCTAAATGATTGATCTTTCCACAAAATGGAATCTTATCCAAACATTTTGAGAAGAGTGTGTCAACATGCTTCCCCTTCAGTGCAACGTAGTCGGCAATTGTATCCTGCGCTTCATTCACAACATTTCTGAATTTATTGACAACAACTCTCAAAACGTGGTGATCACTGGCCCATGAGTTCTTGGAAGCTTCCACAAGCCTGGCGTTAAACGTTTCAATGTCGAAGGTGAGATCCTTTATCTCAGAATCGATGCCACGAACCAACTTCACATTGTATGCTACAGTTTCGACCAACGCGTTTACTCCCTGGTTTACCTGAGACTCTAGCACTTTGTCCACCACTATTGTCATTGCTTTCAGCTCTCTCTCTCACAGACAGTGAAGACATAGGAAATGTATGCAATTATGCAAGTGATATGTGAGAGGTGCATATTCTATTCTTCCATATATATATATTAACAGGGACGGAGCTAGGATTTAATAATTGTCAGAAAAGTAAGATTTTTTTGTTGGAGTTGAAATTTTTTAAAGCTTTTGGATGAGACTATGCGAGTGTGAGTAGGGGGCTGGATTTTTTGGATGAGAATGAGGCTGAATTTTGGAATAAAAAGTACTTTGGAAGCTTTTTAAGCTGAACTTTTTTTCAAAGCTTACACTAAGGGAGTGTTTGGTCGGGAGGAAGGAATTAAGAAGGAAATGAATTGTAATTCGGTGGGAAAGAATAAGGTAGGAATAATGTAGGAAAAATATCACTTTTTCTCTATGAGTTATATGTTTATAACACTTTTTTTTTTCTGAGTTATTCATGCATCCACATTTGCCCCTCAATTATTATAAAAGTAGTAGTTTTTTCGATGATATATTAAATGGACATTTCTACCATTAAAATAAATATTTTATTTATTTTTCTTTTTCAACAAATTATTACTTATACGTAGGGATGACCACGGTTCGGTTCGAACTGAACCGAACACTATAGCAATCAAATAAAAAATTTTCGGTTATGATTCAGAACATAACCCAATATTTGAGTTTCCGTTTATTAAAATCGTGAACTGGAAAAAAATAGATCTTGAACCGTGAACCGGATGTTCAAATCGGAACAACTACTAGCATTAGCTTAAAATTAGAATTATAATATTTGTAAATAGTGTATCTTTTTTTTTTTCGCATTTATACTGACCCTCACATATAAGTATATATAACCGCGATTTGGTTTTTATTTTGAACTGTTGATTCACGATTTCGGATCCAATTTGAACTGCTGGTTCAAACTTTCTTTTAAAATTTTATTTTTTTATTTTTAAAATATTCTAAATTCAATTCAACAATTAATATATTTTATTTTTTTAAATCGTGGTTATAATTTGTTGGAGAAGAAAAAATAAGTGAAATATTTATTTTAAGGGTAAATATGTCAATTTAACATATCGGGGATAAACTTCCAATTAAATAATTTAGGTATTAAAAGTTCTATAACATATGGGAGAAAAGTATCATTTTTCATATATATATATATATATATATATATATATATATATATATATATATATATATATATATATATATATATATATTTTGAAAGGTTTAGGTGCGGACGTGCGGTTGAATGCTTCCCGTGCGGTTGTGCGGGTGATTAATGTGCGTGAGATTTGTACTTAAGACTCGTGAGTATTGTGCTTAACGTGCGTGAGGTTTGAGTTAATGTGTGTGAGTGTGTAATGTTTAATGTGCGTGAGTTTTGAGTTTAAGGTGAGTGAATCTTGTGCCTAATATGCGTGAGTTTTGTGCTTAATGTGTGTGAGTGTGTACTTAATGTGAGTTGCTGTTGAAACTTTATAGTGTATGAGTTTTATGCTTAATGTGCGTGAGTTTTGTGCTTAATATGCCTGAGTTTTGTGCTTAAGGTGCGTGAGTTTTGTACTTAATGTGCGTGAGTGTGTACTTAATACGAGTTGTTTTCAAAACTTAATCTGCGTGTGTTTTTGTGCTTAACATGCGTGAGGCTTGTACTTAACATATGTGAGACTTGTGCTTAATATGCGTGAGGTTGTGTTCTGAAGATATTTTGTTTGTGTGCTTAATGTGCGTGTATTGTGTACTTCAAGCGTGTCAGATTAATGTGTAACGTGCGTTCACCCACACAACCACATGAAAAACCATAAATGCACCAGATCCCTTCTTTATATATATATATATATATATATATATATATATATATATATATATATATATATATATATATATATATATATGATAGTGTAAATTGAACCGGGGGTTACGATTACACTACGAATACGTATGTTTGTGAACGAGTAAAATGAAGCGCTCGACGGTCAGTCGGTCGGTCGGACTACCGAGTGACGACTGAGCGGTCCGAGGCTAAGTAGTATTGCAAGTAGTAAATAGTAGGTTACAATGTAGTGAGTAGTAGTTACAATGAGATGAAGATGAAGATCTCAGAAGTGAGGGGTGAGACCCTCCTATTTATACTTAACTAAGTCGGTCTACACATTTAATGCGCCTGCTGCAAGCGGATCGACGTGGCGTCTTCTCGTTGGCTCAATCAGGCGGTCGCTCTGCAGCTACTCGTAGGTTGACTGACCGAGGTGACAGAGCCACCCTACCTGCAAGCTATCAGCCTTCGTTCTGCCAGTGCAAGTTGTATGCCGACCGGTCAGCCTACGGTAGACCGACCGGGTGGCTTTCCATCAAGGCGATTCCAAGGGTGATCCGAGCGCATCTTCTTTTGTCACGAGGCATATCGGTACGAACGGTATGGTCGACCACAAGTGATTTAGTCTCGTCGGGTTGATGACCGTAATGAACCGGTTGGGTGACTTCTTGACGGACCGACTATACGGATCAGTCTTCTATGCGTATTTACCCATCACAAGTCCCCCACTTCTTGAATCCGCGAGAATCGTCGGGTTCGAGAAGTAAAAATAGCCTCTTTGTAATTTTTCCGATTGGCTTGTCACGAACAAAGTGTCATCTGGTCGGCCTACCATAGACCTTCCGTTCGACCTACCGTAGACCTTCTGCTCGACCTACCGTACTCCTCCTGGTCTACCGGACGCTTTTTGGTAATTTCCAAAATTCTGATTGCTTGTTGAAAATTTTGATCGGACGGCCTATACTAGTGTATTCTCATTTTGCACTTCTCCTTTCCTTAACCAACCCGAATTCTTTGGAATCTCACCACTTTACAAGGTAAAAATTCTGTTTCTTTAGCCTTCCTTTCGTTTTCCTTTTGCTTTGAATTTTTTATATTTCTTTCCCTGTCCGACCGAAACTCTAGACTACAAGTCCCTCGGGACATAAATTTTTTTCTTTGATGCCTTGTCCGTCCGTTTGCTCCGCCCGACCAACCACTTGCACAACCGTCGATCGCCAACCAGCCCAGGCCACCTGCTCGCCACGCATGAAGTCTCTGCCGACCACCACGTACATGGTCGACCGACCGCCATCATGCACATCGTCGACCGACCGCCACTATGCTCCAATTCTACCATTCTTCTATGATGTTATGTCCGTCTGTTTGCTCCGCTCGACCGACCACTTGCACAACCGTCGATCGCCAACCAGCCCAAGCCACCTGCTCGCCACGCACGAAGTCTCCGCCGACCACCACGTACATCTTCAACCGACCGCCATCATGCACATCATCGACCGACCGCCATTATGCTCCAGTTCTACCATTCTTCTATGATGCTATGTACATCTGTTTGCTCCGCCTGACCGACCACTTGCACAATCGTCGATCGCCAACCGGCCTAGGCCACATGCTCGCCGCTCACGAAGTCTCCGCTGACCACCACGTACGTCGTCGACCGACCGCCATCCTTTTTGTAACATGTTACATGTTTCTTCTTGGTCGACCAAGCCGTCGTTTTTCTGCTACTTGGTGTTTGTCGTTTTCCGATCGACCGGCCAAAGTAACGATCCAGTCGACTGATCAACTCATCAAATCATCAACTTCGCTCCTTCCGTTTACTTACCTTTGTGTTGAATTTTATGCTAGTGATGTTTGTGTCATTTTCCTTCTAACCCAATGGCCAACTTGGCCGACACCATATCTTGCTTCTTTCGCTGCTTCCTGTACCAATATATGTACTAGTGTCTTGTTATTGTTGTTGTTGTTGCCTGCTTTGTGCTTTCTTCTTCGTTGTCGTTCGTTCTTCTTTTTTTTTTGTTGGTCTACCGACCGACCTCTTGCTACCGTCTGCTTGTTCGATTTGTTGGTGATCTTTTCTCCGGCCGACCGGCCGATCACGCCACTCGGCTGACTGACTCACGTCATTGTTGCTCTTTTTTTTTTTTTGGTCGACCGACCGCCCTCTTGCTACCATCTGCTTCTTGGCAATGTTATCCGTAGTTGGCTTTATCTATCATATACTTTTGACTTCTCGTATTCGGGAGGCCGACCCCGTTATTGTGTCGGTCAGACCATGCCTATTTTATATATGTGTTCTTCGTTTCCTTTGCTCCGTACTGAGTACTTGTGATTTTTTGTTCTGCATGCGTTGATCCGACCGACTGGCTGCCTTTCACCCTAATGGGTATGACTGACCGAGCAGTCGGGTAGTGCCATACTGGTTGGCCAGAAAAAACAAGTGAACTTAATCACTAACTCGATCGGAAAAAATCGTGTAGGTAGGGCCGGGATAACTCGACCGGGCAAAACCTCAAACGACAGGGCTGAGAAACAAGTGAACTTAATCACAAACTCAACCGGACAAAATCGTGCAGGTAGGGCCGGGAACACTCGACCGGGCAAAACCTCAAACGACAGGGTCAGGAAACAAGTGAACTAAATCACAAACTCAACCGGATAAAATCGTGCAGGTAGGGCCGGGATAACTCGACCGGGCAAAACCTCCAACGACAAGGCCGGGAAACAAGTGAACTTAATCACAAACTCAACCGGACAAAATCGTGCAGGTAGGGCCGGGACAACTCGACCGAGCAAAACCTCAAAAAACAAGGTCGGGAAACAAGTAAACTTAATTACAAACTCAACCGGACAAAATCGTGCAGGTAGGGCCGGGATAACTCGACCCGGCAAAACCTCAAACGACAGGACCGGGAAATAAGTGAACTTAATCACAAACTCAAACGGACTAAATCGTGCAGGTAGGGCCGGGATAACTCGACCGGGCAAAACCTCAAACGACAGGGCCGGGAAACAGGTGAACTTAATCACAAACTCAAATGGACAAAATCGTGCAGGTAGGGCCGGGATAACTCGATCGGGCAAAACCTCAAACGACCGATCAGAAGTGTTTTTTTTTTTTTTTTGACGACCAACAAGAGGTCTCATAGCTGAGAAGCGGGATAGGTGTTACACTTGATTGGGCAAGACCGTGCAGGTAGGGCCAAGATAACTCGACCGGGCAAAACCTCAAACGGACCGATCGGGATTTTTTTTTTTTTTTTTTTTTTTGG